TTCAATGTGCGGACCATTCTCATTATTTATTTCGATTAAAAAAAAAACTTATGTGAGCCAATTAAAGTCAAGTTTTTTTCTTTTTGAACTTGTTTTCTTATATTTTAAGAAGTGTGAACACAAAAGAAAAGTTTTCCAAACTAAAAAGGTCGTTTCATGTTTATAAATATATATATATATATATACTTATATATGTATATATATATAAAGGGGCGGATCTATATATAAAAGCATGTGGGGACAGTTGCCCTAAGTACCTAAATTTCTTTTGGGTTTATTATAAAAAATCTCTAAAGTTTTAAAATTTCAAAATTTTGCCCCATTAAAAATTTTTGTCATCACATTTGCCTTCACTAAATTAAGGTTAGTGAAAGAAATTTTTTATTGTTTATCTAGTAATTGAACATTGATGCTTTAAGTGCTAAACAATTTTATCATAAATATATATTTATGTATTTATATATTTTTAAGTTTGTAAAAAATGAAGTAAATTACTTTTAGAGTTTGAAATTATTAAACTTCTAATTTCTTTTAATAATTTGTTTAGATTGATACAAAGTGATCATATAAGGGTAATGAGACTTGGAGATTGTACTACTTAAATAGTTTAACCACTTTCTAACACCAAAAAATAACATATAAAATATAAAGTAATAAAAATAAAAATAAATAATCATCTTTAACTAATATAGATTTATGTCTTTATTCTTCTTTTCATTGTATGAAACAAAAGAATCATTTTTTTTCTCCAAATTATAATGAATAAAAAATCAAATATATTTATTTGTTAAAAGAAAATGATAATATTAAAAGTAAATAATAAAATTAGATATATTAATTTTTATTTCATTTTTTCACATATTATATCTATTTTTAAGAATTTTGTAAGTAAAATTTTATTAAATTAATATATACGTGTGTGTATCTATTATGAAAAATGATTTATCTAAATAGTATTTAGGCTATATTCATTAAAAATCATATAATTAATTATGCAAATATTATTTCTATTGCAAAAATATATATTTTATATAAAAAAATATTATACGTGTTAATTTTATTTGTAATTTTAAAAATTAATTTGTATTTCAATGAAAATTTTTTGAATTAATTTAAATATTTGCTCCCACTTACCATAAATTCTAGTTGCATCCCTTTATATATATATATATATATATATATATATATATAAAAGATTATATGAGTTTTTGTGGCTTAAATGTAAGGGCTAAAATCTTATTAAGTAAGAAAGCAAGTGGGATAAAATCATAAAAATATTTTTAAAAAACAAATCTACATTTCAGTAGATTAGTAAACTGACAACTTACAATGTCACAGGTCACAAGAAAAAGTACAAATTGTTTGCTAAAATGAATTGATAATTAAAAAATAATAAAGAAAATTATGTGTAAATAATTCCTATAAATAAATACATTTGACATAATTATTTTCTATTCCAACTTGGCCATGTCCGGTTTGCAATTTTTTTTATGAAATATAAAATATAAAAGTTTTTATTTAATAATAAAAAATAAATATTTTTTAGTAATTTTGTTGTTGTTTTTAATCTTTTTTTGGAAAATATAATCTTTTGAAAAAATAAAAAGTACTAATGCTTGAATTGTGTCACTTAATTGTAATTAGATAGGTATTGGCTTCTATTTTAAATAAGGGAGACTATTTTTTAAAAAAAATTTATATAAATTAAATCAAAATTCAATAATAAATACATAATAACCTAACCTAGCGATACAATATTTACTTCTTACCAACATTGATCAATTATTAAATTCAAACCTATCTACCCATAAAATCAGAGCCTACTAATATCATCACCCATTCAACTTAATTTTTTAAAGAACAAAAACAATAATTTTATTATGGTAGGAGGAGCATTATAGTAGTTTTGATTAATGATGGTAGGAGGGTATTTTTGTAATTAAGGTTCCATAGCATTATAGTGAATTTGGCTAATTATAGTAAAAAGGGTATTTTAATAATTATGTTAAAAGGGCATTATAATAATTTTAGTTAATTATAAAAAGACAAGCATTACATTTGATTTATATGTATGTCATTTAATTGTCAAGCAATTAAAAGAGTATTATAATCATTTGCAAAGGAATTACTCTCATATAATTGTATGGATGTTAAAATTTAATACATAATTATGAAGCAACAAAAAAGGTACTTTGATAATTATGGTGAGAAGGTATTATAGTAATTTTAACAAATAATAATAGGAAGGCATTTTCTTTATTATGGATGTAAAGATATTTTATTAACTTTGACCAGTTATTGTAAAAAAGGCATATTAATAAATATGATAAGAATGGTATTATAGTAATTTTAGTTAATTATATAAAGGACATTACCGTCAATTTGGTTGCATGAATTCAATTGTCAAATAATTAAAAAGGTATTATGATTATTTTAAAAGAGATTAACTTTATATTATTGTATGGATGTTAAAATTTAATACGTAATTAAAAAGCAATCAAAAGGGTATTTTTATAATTATGCTAATAAGGAATTATAATAATTTTGACAAAGTATAATATGAGGGGTATATTCATAATTATGGTAGGAGAGGCATCATATAAAGCAATCAAAATGACATTTTTTGTAATTATAGTTTGAAGGTATTATAGTAATTTAAATTAATTATAATATGAATGAGTATTTTAGTAATAACGGTAATATGGCATTTTCATAATTATGGTTAGAGGGTATTAAAGTAATGAGTGGTGCTGTTTGCACTCCAACTTCATACCCTACTACTATTAACGTCTAATTTTTTACTTAACATACCCCAAACCCAAAACACAAATTTATTAAAAACCTAAACACCTCATCTCCTCACACCCCATCTCTTTTTTTTCCCAATTGAATACCTAAAGGATTTTAAGCTTCAATCAAGCCAAATTCAAAAACAAATTTACCCATTTGAAGTTAAAAAACATAAAATCAAAGGCAAATAATTTGTTCTTTCTACTTTTTTGTTTGAATTTGTGTTTACTTTCGTAAGATTTTATGTTAAAATGTTTGGGTGCAATTCAAAACTTCCAAAAATGAATTTTTGAAAGTTTTTAAAAGTTTTCGAAAATAGATATCCAAAAACTTTTAAAATTTTTTTAAAATTTTAGGTTTCCAAAAATGGATGTCCGAAAGCCTTTAAAAACATTTGAAAATGGATTTTCAAATTTTTGAAAGTTCTTAAATGCTTTCAAACATCCATTTTTTAAAATCTTTAAGACTTTCTGGAAGTAGATTTTCGAAATAGAGTGTAAAAGATAAAAAAGTAATTGACTAATGAGTATTTAAATAGTTTCATTAAAGATTAAAATTTTAAAGTATATTGAGATGAAGTTGAGGTGCAAATAGCAGCACTCTAAGTAATTTTGACAAATCATAATATGAAGGGTATTTGCATAATTATAATAGGAGAATATTTATATAATTATGATTGTAGGACCCTTAAAGTAACATTGGTCAATCATAGTAAGAGAAGTATTTAAGTAACTATGTTAATAGGGGCAAAATAATAATTTTTGTTAATCATAAAATGAAAGGGATTACAATCAATTTGGATGCACGTAATTTAATTATTAAGTATTATAATATAGTATGAGGGATATTGAAGTAATTTTGATTAATTATGGTAAAAAGGGTATTTTAGTAATTATGTTAAAAGGAGTATTATAGTAATTTTATAAATCATAGAAAGATGAGTATCATAGTTAATTTAAATATACAATTGTCAAGTAATTAAAAGAATATTATGATAATTTATAATGAAATTAAGTTTGCAAGTTATATCAGTAACGATGAAATTTTATCAAAAAATTTATATTGACTTAAAAAAAAAAAAAAAATGAGATGCAAAGTTAACACATCCACTAATATAATTTTTTTAAAAAAATTAAAAAATCAAACAAATACTTTTAATATAATATTAAGTGACCCATATTAAAAAAGTTAAAATATAAAAACCTATTAAATATTAAAAAAAGTTAATAAGAAAAAAATGACTTAACATATTATATATCATCGATATAAAGTAGGTCTAAAAATAAAATTTAAATAAAAAATAATTTTTAATTATGAAAAATTAAAAAATTAAAAAAAATGTTATGTACCCTTAATAATAAATTAGTTTCAAAAATAAAATTAAAATAAAAAAATAATTTTGTTTGAAAAATTAAAAAATGAAAAAACTAAAAAAATTAATATAAGTGAATCTCACAAAAAAATTTAAAAAATATTAAATATAATAAAAATTAAAAAAATAAAATCAAAAGATAAAATTTAAAATGTAGACCTACACCTTTTTAAAATAAAAAAAAATTATGAACCCACCGCTTTTTTTTTTTTAAAGTTTCAAACCTTTGGAGAAAACAAAAAAGTGAATCCCACATATTTTTAAAAGTATCTTAAAAAGGTAGGACCCACCGTAAGAAAAAAACCAAGCAAGCGGTCGCACTTTAAAAAATAAAAAAGATATAGGAATCACACCCATTTTAAAAAATTAAAAAAATAGTTGGGACCCACATAATAAGAAAAAGTGCGGCATTTGTTTAGAGGATGGCGTAGGTTTTAATCAAATTCAAAATTAAAGCATAATAACAAATTGATAAATTGGATAGCTATATCGAATGATTTTACGAGTCATGTCAACCGATTCATTTGCGAACCTACTTACACGCCGTGAGGACACAAATCTAATCCGATTTGATAGCTGTTATTACTACAATTGCGGGAATCAATGAAGAAACAGTTGCTCACATTCACATCAGTGACAACTGGCAAAACGTAAGAGAAGTTTTGTGACCACGAGAATGAACGATGACCCCACGAATCAACGGGTAGGATTGAAAAGAAAGGCAAGCAAAGTCAAAACAAATGACAAAAAATAGCAAATATGGGAATAATACAAAATATATAAAAAAATACCAAATATGTGAATGTGAGAGAGACCAAAAAATAGAGTCCAAAACTAACCAATATTTCTTATTTGAATCCATTTTAATAGTCCTCATTCTTTTGATGTGATAAATGAAAGAAACCACGTCCTTTTTCACTGCTATGTTCCCACTGCCAACACTTTTTCCTATAAAACCCACTCTCCGGTGAGATTCTTTTCATTTTTTTGTAAAGGATCCAAGATTCCTGTAAACTCTTCAAAGTAGAGAAATGGATAGAGCTGAAGATAGGGTAGAGCACGGATTCAACCCAGAAGAAGAAGATAAGAAGGGGTTGAAGGGAGATGAGATGTCAGTGGAACAGATCTTTGAGAGACAGGAAGTGCCATCATGGAGGAAACAGCTGACGATGAGGGCCTTCGTTGTCAGCTTTGTGTTGAGCATATTGTTCAGTTTCATAGTGATGAAGCTTAACTTAACAACAGGAATCATCCCATCTCTCAATGTCTCGGCTGGCCTGTTGGGCTTCTTCTTTGTCAGGACATGGACCAAGATACTCGAAAAATCTGGTCTCCTCAAACAGCCTTTCACCAGGCAGGAAAACACCGTTATTCAGACCTGCGTGGTTGCCTCCTCCGGCATCGCCTTCAGCGGTACGTATCTCTGTTTTGCTTCCTTTGATTTGTTATAAAAATGATATTGTCCCAAATCAGATCACTGAGTATTCGAACCCTGTATAATGGGGTCGATAATTAAGGCCGGAACCTGGTTAACGAGTCAGGCCCTGCGGTTCCCACCGCACATCCAATCGGGCTACTAGTACCTACCCTTGGTCTATAGTAGCAATAGAAGGAAGCCATAAGGAAAACCAAAAAGTGCTCATCAATTTTCCTTCAACTGTTACAATTAATACAAGTTGAGCTTTTGATTCAATTACTATGAGTGAAAATACCAAGCTGGAGATTCGTCTGGGTTTGGGTCCACAATCCACTGAAAAAGAGTAATGGATGGTGGCAGTACAGCCAAGTTGTAGCTTTGGGGAATGGGTTAATGATAATTGATCGTGGATGAGATTGAGATTTGAGCAAGGCATGCGCAGTGCCATGTTGATAAGTCAAGGATAGTTTTAGGCTTTTATGGAGGGGACCCTTTGAATTTTTATACCAGAACCATAATAGCTGTCTCAATTCCTACACTTAGTTTTTCACATTACTTTTGATACTTAAGTAACGCTGACATATTGTTTTCTTTGTTTATTAACTTATAGCACCATCTTCACCTTATATAATACCTTTAATTATCACGCCAATGATGCTATCATTATTTAATTTAAATGTCATTTAAAATGTGCAATTTTCACAATTTATGATGAATTGGGTTTTATGCGTACAAATGAATGGTGATGATTAATGTATTAAAAAAAAATTAAGATACTAGGATGATTGCTCCCACTAACTTGTCACTATTTAAGTGCAACCAATATAAATCAGTACCAATCACATTAACATATTATATATTCCATTAATGTTGTATAGTTGACTATATCTTCAAATAATAACTTTTAGAATTGTTCAATCTTAATTGTACAAGCGATCAGAGTCATGTATTGCATTTCCACATTTATATTTTACAATGGCAAGTATACAAATTTTTTGGGATACTTGTCTTAATGGCATACTTGGTATAGTGTCCATGGTTAGTTTCTTGAAAGAGGAACATATTTTTCTATGTTGAACATTGCTGAATCAAATACTTAACAATAGCAAGAAACATAACTACTTTTATGAAAATGAACATAGATCATTGTAAGCTATGAAATGAATAAGTTCCATTAGTGATTTAATATTATGACATCACTTTTTTTTCTTTAACATACATTGTGTGATCTTGTTAATGAAGACTTGGATTTGACATAACAACCGCCTTTTAAGGACAAAAGCTCGGAGAAAGGAAGCAATAGCTTGCATCACTTTAGGAGCAATGCTATGCTGTAATCCAAAACCATTGAAAGGAAATTATCAGGTTTAGAATAGATTCACCTATCACAGATTTGTTCTTGGGTATTTTGGCAATTAAATAACAAATTTATTTGCAAACTAAACTTGTGGTTGTAGTACTTGTTTGGAATTGCAAATTTTGTAATGTGTACCGAGTCTATGAGTGAGGGAACGTGATATCAGTATTAATTTTCATTAAAATTAGGCACAACTGATATGCTCTAATTCTATGTTTACTTTACCTTCTTACAAACAGGAGGATTTGGGAGTTACCTCTTTGGAATGAGTGAACGCATTGCCAAGCAATCAGGGGACTCTGGGGGTTTCAAGAATCCGTCACTCGGATGGATTATTGGTTTCCTCTTTGTTGTTAGCTTTCTTGGTCTCTTCTCTGTGGTGCCTCTTCGGAAGGTACACTCTTTTCTATCCCTACGTATTTTCAAACTTACAGCAACCATGTGTTGAATGGACAAAGAGATACAAATTCCCAAATAAATTATATGTATCTAATCGTTAATAAATGGGAATGAAATCATTGAGTTGATATTGAATGATACCCTTTGCATGGAAAGGTTTTTGCCTATTTGAACCTGCATAGGTCATTAACTTTTTGTCCTCCTTTTCTCAGATCATGGTCATAGACTTCAAGTTGACATATCCAAGTGGTACTGCAACTGCACATCTTATCAATAGCTTCCACACTCCTCAAGGAGCCAAGCTAGCAAAGTAAATCACTGTCATATTTGTAATTTCTAATTAAAGCTGGTCATTTTGAAATATATCCATTCTAACTCTTTCACGCTTTTTGCACTTGTAGGAAGCAGGTAAAAACATTGGGCAAGTTCTTTTCTTTCAGCTTCTTGTGGGGTTTCTTTCAATGGTTTTTCACTGCCGGAGATGATTGTGGATTTGTTAGCTTCCCTACATTTGGGCTTAAAGCATATAAGAACAAGTGCGTAAAATCAGTTCAATTATTTTCTTTAGTGAACACAATCAATGTTACTTTTGATGCAATATTTAAAATATTTAGCTTAAGAGTACTAAGCCACTTTCTTGTTAGGGATTATTTTGCTAATAATTCCTTTGGTAATGTTTCAGGTTTTACTTTGATTTCTCAGCAACATATGTTGGAGTAGGGATGATTTGTCCCTACATGATAAATATATCAGTGCTGCTTGGAGGAATTCTTTCCTGGGGTCTAATGTGGCCTCTAATCGAAACAAGAAAGGGTGATTGGTATCCTGCAGGTCTTCCTTCAAGCAATATGCATGGTCTACAAGGTTACAAGGTTAGTTTCCTATAATGTCATCAAATGTGTAGTTTTCTTCCACCATTACATAAATCACAGGACTCTTCCTCATTGATGCTGGACTTATTCCCTAAATCCAGGTATTTATTGCCATTGCCATGATTTTGGGTGATGGGCTATACAACTTTTTCAAGGTGTTAAGTAGAACCCTCACAGGCTTGTTTTATCAAGTTCGAGGCAGACAAGCTCTCCCCATTGCAAACCAGCCCTCTCCGGAATCTGATACTTCAAAGAAGCTATCTTATGATGACCAGCGACGAACCCAGCTCTTTCTAAAAGATCAGATTCCTACATGGTTTTCTATTGCAGGTTATGTCACAATTGCTGCCATCTCTACCATTGTTGTTCCACACATCATTCATGAACTCAAATGGTATTACATATTGGTCATATACATCTTTGCACCAACACTGGCTTTCTGTAATGCATATGGATGTGGACTGACTGATTGGTCCCTTGCTTCCACCTATGGCAAGCTAGCAATCTTTACAATTGGAGCTTGGGCAGGTTCACATGGTGGAGTCCTTGCAGGACTGGCAGCATGTGGTGTAATGATGAACATTGTATCAACAGCCTCTGACCTAATGCAGGATTTTAAGACTGGTTACCTGACCCTTGCTTCTCCCAGGTCCATGTTTGTTAGCCAAGTGATTGGCACTTCCATGGGCTGCATAGTTTCACCTTGTGTTTTCTGGCTGTTCTACAAGGCATTCGATGACCTTGGGCTACCTAACAGTCAATATCCTGCTCCTTTTGCAATTGTGTATCGCAACATGTCTATATTGGGTGTACAGGGCTTCTCTGCTCTGCCAAAAAATTGCCTCTTGCTGTGTTATGTGTTCTTTGGTGCTGCCATCGCGATAAACTTCATTAAAGATATGCTGGGTAAGAAATGGGGATCCTTCATTCCACTTCCAATGGCAATGGCAATACCTTTCTACCTTGGGCCATACTTTGCCATTGATATGTGTGTTGGAAGCTTGATTTTGTTTGTCTGGGAAAAGTTAAACAAGGCAAAGGCAGATGCATTTGCACCAGCAGTAGCCTCTGGTTTGATCTGTGGGGATGGTATATGGACTTTGCCAAACTCAATACTTGCTCTGGCAAGGGTTAAACCACCAATTTGCATGAAATTTCTGTCGAGGGCAACAAACAGTAAGGTTGATACGTTCTTGGGATCATGAAGTTGAATGAAGTTGGTGCATGCAAAATCTATGGATACTGATAGCCTTGTAAAATATCCCATCAAGTATTTTATAGGTATATGTTATTTTTTCTGTGTTTCATTCTTCCTGGTGTTGACAAAAACGAGTATGTTCACTATCAAAGGATGTGATTAGCAACGTGTTATAGGTGAGTCAGAATGAAAATTCATATAGTTAATATCGTCCTTGTTTTAGCATGTCTAGGATATTTGTTTGTCTAAGTTTTCAATTACAGGTATTGGAATTTCTCATTTCTTTTCCATATCTGCACAATTTCGGTATATTATCTACAAGTCTTGATGTTCCTTCGATCGATTTATAAATAATACGTAGCATAGATGTCATATTGATAAAATGATGATAGAAAATGAAGCAGCGTTCCATTTACAATCATCATTTATAACAATCTCATGATAATTGACTAATCATTATTTATAATTGTGAGTTTCATGTAAAATTTTGATAAATTTTACATTTTTAAATTGGGATTTGATTAATTGTGGTGACACGATTGAAAATGATATGGCAAATAAAGTAAGATATATTAGAAAAGTAATTGAAAAGAAACCTAATTATAACACACCATATATCTAATTTAATTCTTTTTAAAACAATAATTGAATATTTAGATAAGTAATTAATTTTAAATTATTCGTATAATTTAGATTCGATTGCGTGTGATGCAAAAGATCGAAAATGAGCACAAGATTCAATTGATCTAGTCAAATTTTAAAAGGTTAAAAGCATAAATTTATCCTTTTTATTTATGTAAGTGGTTTAAATTTATTATTAATTTTATAATTAATATAATTTTATCATTATACTTTTGATTTTAAAATAAATTTCTCCTCATAATTCAAATTTTAAAACAATTAAAAATATTCATTAAAAAACTATGTTAACTAATGTGTTATGATTTAAAAACTTTTAAAAAAATGGCGTGACAAGAAAAAAGGTCAAGAGCAACTGAAAAGTATGATGTGAAATTATGTGTAATAAAGAATCATCATGAAACAAGAAAAAAAGAAAAGAAAAGAAATTTTGGATTATGAGACATTATATTTAATAAAAACCCTACGATAAAAAAAGAAAATAAATAAATAAAAGAAGCCAAAATTTAGCTTCATGATTCTTTCCTGCTCTCCAATCTAACTATTATATAAATTTGTCTCCAGGTTCATTTTAAACAATTACTTAGCCGACATTTGTTCAAAACACTACAGTATAAAGATTTAGTTAAATTTTATAGACATAATGAAATTTTATCGGATATCAGATAATTCAAACAATAAGAATTTTATTTATATCTTACTTTTTACTCTATACATTCCACTTCTAAATACATCTCAAATTAAAAACTTAATTTTTTATTTTTACTAAATCACTGTATATTTTTCATTCTTACCATTTTTTTTTCACTTTTTGAAATAAAGTTTATCGAAAATAAAAATTTGAAGAACTTTAAGACTTCTCGAAAAGCAATATTCCAGAAGCTTTAAAATCTCTCGAAATCCATTTACGAGAAATCTTTGAAATTTCTTAAATATCAAATTTCAAAAAAATTAAAAATTGTTTTTAAATAAATATTCGAAGAATTCTTAAAATTTTTCAAATATCCATTTTTACGAAACTTTATTTCACTTTTAAAAGTGGATTTCTTAACCTTAATCATATAGATTGATGTCCCATGAGCTAATCATAAATACACTTAATTAAAAATATATACATTTATGAATTTATTTATTTGATCATATGTGTGAATAAAATTGAAATCGATATTCTCAAGTATATATGATATAAACTTGTTTTTTTTAGTGAGATTCCAAAAAATTAAAAATACCTTTTTTTTTATTTTTTTGGTTTTGTATGAGTAAAAAAGTGTTTTTGGTTTTTTTTTTTATCTCAAGACAAGAAAATTTTTATACCCATGCATGCTTGATAACTAACATGTTTGTTCTATTCGTACATATGATTAAGTAAGCATAGGCATGATTCGTGTGAATGCATATATGCTAGTAAAAGCTTGAATATCCAATAGAATATTGATTTTGATAAAGTTATCAACAGACTAACAAATATAGCAATAGGGATCTCTAAAAAGAAATAATTAAAGATGTTTGGAGATCCTTGCACATCCAGTATTTTCGTGCCAAACAATAATCAAGAGATTGATTTGTTTTAATATTATTTATTTAAGATTAAATGTATTTGTTTTACTAAAATAAAAATTAAATGCTATGAAGAATTTATAATTAAATATATATTTAAAAAAAATTTATATATTTTCAAAAATAAATTTTTAAAAATACAATATAACTCTGAAAAATATATTTTCAAAAATTATATTACGTACTTAAAAATTAATTTTCAAAAATTATATTGTATTTTAAAAATTTATTTTCAAAAATATAATATAATTCTTAAATATTTATTTTTAAGATTTACAAAAGTAATTTTGAGATATATAAACTATTGATGATATTTTTCTGATTTATTAAAAAAATTTTGTATTTACTATATAGATATTTTTGAAAAAAATTTTGATAATGTAAAAAAAAAAAGTTGTGACATATTTAGAAGTTAGAACCCCCATTCAAACAACCAATGTCAGATTTTTCTCCTATAAAAAAAGTCTCCTTATAAAATTAAACGACAAGTACCACAAAAAATCTCTAAGCAAAAATCCTAAACACTCCGACAACCACCGCAAGACCTCACCAATAGTCATCATCGACCACAGCAAGAGCCACCACTGATCACTAAAAGGCAAATCCTCCGTAACGTACCGCAATTAACATAAACACTTAAATTACCTATAAAAAAACTTGTAAAAATTAAAATTTAGAATCTAAACTACCATCTTGACACCACCAAGACACAAGCAAAAGAACTCAACAAAAAAGAAAAAACCCTAAAGAACCTCTAGTGCCTCTACCACCTAAAGCCACCACCTACCTACTTTCATAATTTAACCACCACCAAAAATGCTACTTGAAACTTTATTTTCAACACAAAGTAATCGCAAATTTTAAAATCGAAAATCACAATAAAAAAAATAAAACAAAGTCAATCGTAATACCATAACCAAAAAGTAAAAACCAAACAGCCAAAGAAAACAAACAAAAAAAAAAGTATCCAATAGCCAAAAAATGGATGAAAGGTGAAGTCTATGATGATTTCGAGCATGAAGGATTTTTCAGGTTTAGAAGTGCTTTAAAGGGAGTTTAGTTCGAGCATTTCAGGAAGAGGAAGTTGTGAGGGAGAGAGGGCCATTTCAAGGTTGTAATGGTGGTTGTGGTAGTACCGGCAATGAGAAAGTTTAGAGAATCCGTAATGGTGGAAATGAAGGACTAGGATAGGGAAAAAAAACATATTTTAGTTCTAACATATTTGAAAGGCGATAAAAAGGGATTTCAGCATCTTAAATGTTTCATTTAAAGCTTTAAATCTAACAAAATTTGAAGGTTTTTTTAAAAAATCCACTCTGATGTAAAGATAATGAAGGAAAAGAAGATATAAGGGGGGAAATTTTGATCGATTTTGATGCCAACGAGCAACGACCATCAACAAAGGACCACTGTGATCAACTAAAATATGGAAAGAGAATGGTGGCATTGTAGGAAAGTTCTTTTAGATAGATATGGTATGAGTTTTTTATTTCAGAATGAGACAGAGGAATGAAAAATGATATTTAAAAAATTAGAATTTTATAATGGGATTTTAGCCAAATGGCAAGTTTAGGTAGAAAAGAAAAATGAAAAAAGGGGAATGGATGAATCGGTTTGGGTCATTCCACATCAAATTGACTCATGACTAGAGCTAATGATTCGGATTGAGCACACCTGCAAATTAGGCCCAAACTACAACCAGCTTGCTTTGAACCATTTTCTTAAACTGGGTTGGCCTAATATTAGTGGTATATTTTTTTAAAACTCCTTATTTTGTTTATTTAATTTTCAAATTGCGTGCATGCTTATATTTTATTTTTAAATATATATTTTAAATTTATTTGGATTATTTTAATTTTAATTGGTGATAATAAAATTGTTAATAAGGATTAGGCAAACACTAAATAATTAAAAAATTACAAATTTTATAAGCATGAAAAAAAAATCAATTCACTTGCGTCATTAATCATTATATTTCCTCTTGCATAATGTGAATCTTATAACAAATGTGAGAATTATTAAAAGAAATATGAGCAAAAAAATTTTATTTCAAAATAAGCGAATTTTTTCCATAATGTGAAATTATAAGAGAGTGACATATGATTTTAAATAAATTTTTAAGTGAGAAAATATTTTTAAATTTTATAAAAAAAAGATAAAATGAAAATAAATTTGAAATTAGATTAAAAAATTAAATTTAAAATTTCTTAATAAAATATAATAAGTTCAACATCAGAAATATTTTTAAGAAAATGAATTGTTTTTCTTAAATATTCCTAAAATAAGAACAAAATGTAAAAAAATTTTACAGGCGGATAAATGCTCTAATATATATTCAAAATTGAACTTCAAAACAATTTCTAACAAACTTTTCTAATAAAAATCTTTAATTGCTTCAAAAATTTAAGTGTAATAATAATTTTGCTCCAAAATTAAAAATATGATGATGAAATTGCACAAATTAAAAGATTTGTGAGAAATTTAGACCACTCATAAGTAAAATGATAAATTCGCAGCTTACCTTAATTTTTCGTTATAAGCTTGCTATTTTATTTGAACCTTATCTCAACTTCTAGTAATAAGTTTGCCGCTTTATGCATTAGAGGGTTGCCAAGTGCATTTGTACCAGATAGGTTGATTATTATTGATAATGTTATTGCGGCGTATGAAGTGTTGCATACTCTAAAAGGGAAAAAGAATGGGAAGGAATGTTTTTGTGCACTTAAACCTGACATGAGTAAGGCTTATGATCTAAAAGAGGGAAACATTCTAAGCGCAATGATGTATAAATTGGCTTTTCATTCTTAAAGGGTAGATGTGGTCATGGATTGTGTAACTTCTGTTTCGTATTCTATTGTGGTACATGGTTGCATTACTGATGGGTTTCGTCTCGATAGAGGGCTCCGATAAAGGGATCCACTCCTCTTCCCTTCTTCCCTATTTTTGATTTGTACCTTAGGATTTTCAGATCTTTTAACAAAAAGCTCAAAGAGAGTCTGCTACATGGTTTGCAAGCAAGTAAGAATAATCCTATAGTTACTCATCTGTTCTTGACTGATGACAAATCATTAATTTTGACAAATCAACAGTGGTTTTTAGTAGTAACACAACGAAGGGGAGGATGGCTAAAATTAAGAATATTTTTGGTGTCCAAATCAATTAAAATCTGGAGAGATATTTAGGATTGCCTTCTATGGCGGGTAGAAATCGGAAAAGAGCTTTTAGAAAGTTTAAGGAATGAATAAGATCAAGAATGGCAGCGTAGAGTAACAAGCTATTATCGCAGGGTGGCAAAGGTGGTTTCTTAAAAGCAGTGGTGCAAGCTACACCAACCTATACCATGAGTTGTTTTCCGTTACCCAAAATTTTTTGCAGTGAAATTGATGGCATTATTAGCCAATTCTGGTGGCAGCAATGTAGAGAGAAAAAGGGTATCCATTGGATGAGTTGGGACCGAATGCGTAAACCAAAATGTGAGGGAGGAATGGGGTTAAGAGATTGGCAAGAATTCAATGTAGCTCTTTTGGCAAAACAAGGATGGCGGCTACTGAAAAAATGTGAAACAATGGCTTATGGTGTGTTAAAAGCAAGGTATTTCCCGAACGTTAATTTCCTAGAGTCCAGTTTGGGAAGCAACCCTTTTTTAATACGGAGAAGTATCTGAGAGTCGAAAACAGTCCTGCACCGATGGGTTAGTTGGCGAGTGGGTGATGGACAAGGGATTAAAATCTGGAAGCATAGTGGTTGCCTTTTACACCGGCTTTCATTCCAGTATCGCCCAGAGGGGAATGTGATTAAGAACGAGTTTGTGAGCTCATTGACAGTCGGACAAAGCACTGCCCAAGTAAGATGAACTGTCCTTATATACAAGTTTGGCACCGCGATAATAGAGGTGTGTATACTGAGAATCGGGATATAAGTTGCTGTGTAATGGAGACCAAAACAGTCCTGTCTATAATAATAGTGAAAATCAGAGATTACGGAGATGTTTGGACTATATATGTACTAAACAACATCAAGATCTTTTTCTGGAAGGTTTGTCATGGTTTTTTACCCGTTATGCGGAACCTTGCGTATAAACGTAACCAGGTGGATTAGATGTGATCAACAAATGAAACAGTGGAACATGCTTTGAGTCGGTGTGTAGCACAAGTGAGGTGTGGTAACTTCTACAATTTCCCTGTGACCAACATGAAGATGAAGATGGGATCGGATGTATTGAGCACATGTTTGAAAAGTTGAATATAGAACAGCTCCAACAGCTGACCATTACAAGCTGGGTAATAGGGACTGGTAGAAATAAAGAGTTTCACGAGGGAGAAAAGATGACAGTGGCAATAATGGGTGTGTTTGTTATACGATATATCTTTGAATACAACCAGGCGACGGTGAACTCCCGTAGAGAGCAAAGTAAAGAATCCCAACAATGGCAACCATCAGATTATATGTTTTTTAAAGCAAATTTTGATGGGGCGCCATGTAGAGAACAAAGAAGAGGAGGTATAGGGGTTATTATCCGAGACTCTGAAGGAATGGTTATGGACGTATGTTCTGCAAAAATGGAAAATGTCACTGACCCGTTTGCAGTGGAAGCAAGGGCAGCAATCAAGGCGATGGAGTTTTCTCACGAGATGGGTTTCCAAGCTATGATATTTGAGGGTGATGCATTATGTATAGTGAAGAAACTACAATCCTGGGAACAAGATCTGTCACTATTGGTCATATTATAGATGAGGCGAGAGAAAAAAGCACATATTTTCAAAATGTTTCATTCATGCACGCAAAGAAATGCCAATGCTGCAGCACATCAGTTAGCTAGGCATGGGTTAGGTATTAATGCGGATGTGTATTGCGCAGAAGAGGTTCCTTCTTGTCTCCATGGTTTTGCATTTGATGACTCAAATGGTTTCTTTAATGAATGATTAACAATCTTTATATTCAAAAAAAAAAGGGAAAACAAAAGGGTAATAACTTGAGCCATAAGATTTACACAATTTAGGTAATAACTTGAGTAATGTGGTCAGATATTATTCTAAATTTGTCAAAAATTAGTTGTTCAACCCTTAATTTCAATAACTAAAGTTTAATATTTGATAAACTCAAATACCAAAAAGATATATTCTCAAATTATTATGTAGCAATAAATGTGCAACCCACATTCAAATTTTCTTATATTCTGTTCTTTAGTATTTGAGATTATCAAAATTTTAATATGATAACTGAAACTAAAAATACAACACTTTAACCAATAAACCAAACTTTCCTATATTCATCAAAGCCAACCATGCATGAAAAAAGAGCTCAAGATATTTGGTCCAAAAGGAATCTATATCTCCAATTAATGGTTCTAAAATATATAATTTCAGAAGACAAGGACATGGGACAGAATGCAGACATCAAAACATTTGACAGTTTTAGATAAAGTATTTCAAGCCAAAAAGTAGACAGCTCCCTATATACCCTTTCAAGTTTCAGGCAAGAGAAATGGCAAAATACCACAATTTACCATGATTAAAGTTATTATTATTTTTCTCCTCATGCTTCCCTTTTCTACCGATAAAAGCAACCAAGTGAAGAACTAATCTAATTGAGAAATGTATACATGTGAAATTTGAAATTTTAACAAGAGTAATAACATAACCATCACCCATTATGACTAATTTTATATATCAATTGAAAATCTGAGACCCTTCAAAAACCTACCAACCTGATTGTCAAATTTTCTTGTTGTTTAATCTTCTTCACTTTAGTAAGTATATGCTTGACAATGTCATTCCGATATTTACCATAGTGGTGTTATAATCTCATGCAGTCCAATCTTCATCGCTCCCATTAGTATCCTAAATGAGATAAATAAGCATAAATCACTAAAATGACAATAGCCACCCGATTTCTGATGCATAAGCTGGGGATGGGTGGGGGAGAGAGATTTTGTTGAGTATTTACTTATATAGAAGCTGACAAGTAGTCTCACCTGTGATGTGCTTGAGAAATCTTTGATATCCTCATCAACATCCTCTTCAACCTACAAGGTTTGTTCGCAGTATTAACCACATTGAAGAATAAAGGTTTGAAATTAGTTTGTTTAGCGAAAAGCAAGCTGATTTGAGCAATTATGCACAAAGTTGATTTAAAACTTTTGAATGCAATGAGAGAAAAGAAAGGCATTGAAAAGGATTCACATTCACAATGAACTGCTATATAAAATATAGAAGTATTTCAACAAATAGGACTTTAATAAATGCCCTTAGAGCATCTCATTACTCTACAAGGGCCAAATCATGCCATAATTTTAGCATCTAACAAGGACATGCGAGTTTAGAATCTAAGAAAGAAGAAAATCATATGAATTCTAGCTACATGCTTTCACACCTATAATTCTCGTATACATATCAATGTGAGCTTAAAAGAACTTCTGTTTTCTTCTTTTGCTTTTTTATCTTTCAGGCACTCAGCAGTTACTGATATATGCCAATAAAGGTATCTTATTCTTACTATTCCTATCCTTGGTCGAATATAAAATTACCAAACAGTTCTATACATAATGGTTTCTATAAATCTTGTTTCTCTAATATAAGTTGACACAACCATAAGGTAAAATGCATCAATGAGATTACGAATGCTTTCATTTGTAAGAGTTGATTTATAATTGGTTAGGCAAGGAAATTTCATGTAAGAACACAAAGATGAAATTTTGATTTGATAAATTTGGAAATTATTTCTTAAACTGAACACAACAACATTAATAAATTGATGCTGCAGTCCCTCAAAGTTATTGTAAGTTACTTCATCTTTAAAACCAAACATAATTTGTCAGTGGCACATACATCAATTGATAGTGTTTCACAAGGTAAGTGAGTTTTAATAGATTCCAGGGAGTATCATAAAATATTGAAATGGGAAAATGGCATTAGGCAATATGTTTCAGACTAGGAGAATGATTCCAACACCACTATCCTAGTAGATGGTTGAACTAACGCAAAAACCAAGTGCTTCAACATAGAGAAACACCAGAACTTTAAAATATAGACAATGATACCTCAGATTCTTTCTTCTTTCCTTTGATTCCTGTTCCTACAATTTCAAAGAAGTCTCCATCACAAATTTTAACAGCAAAAAAAAAAAAAAAAGCCCAAGGTAATTAAAAGCCAAAAATTCAGCTGCATGCTTATGTCACAAAGAGATAAACCTGCAGTACAAATAAGTTCTAGAGGCCATAAGAATATGCAAACTTACAACTACTTTTCATGAGAGCTGAACTACATAATTCTCGCACAACCATTTATTCTATATAGCCTAACTGTGCAACTGCAAATTGATAGCAAAATGAACCCCTAATTTCTTAACAAAGTTCTTGAAGATGATTATAGACAAAGCATGTCAACAAAAACCAAAAAGGGAAAGAAGCCAGCAGTGAAGTAATTCCGCCTTTTATAAACATTCACTACATCCTCCATAACATTAAAAAAAACTGGATAATTTTATTCAGTTAAGAAAGGTACATGAACAAATTCATAAAGTCAAACAAAAAAAGTGGGGCAATGATAAACCATTGTGTACCCCTTGATAAAAAGTCAATTAGCAGCGAGTCAATCAAGCACACAAAATGACAATTATCATCATTGTCTTCGTAGCATGATGTGCACTTTAAGTTTATCAAACGTTGACCAAATTGTGATTGGTTTATCTACCATAGCTGAAACAGTTGACATTCATCTGCAAGGACCTCACTACAAAACTAAAACTTTTTTTTTTCTGAACCTTATAAATAAACCATCAAATCTAACTGGAGCATATCATCTACAATTATTGTAATACAATTAACCAATCAAAATTTTGAGTTATGTAGGATCCACTGAAATATTATGTGAAGCCCATACTTATAGGTGATGGACTGCCTACATAATTCTTGATTGTGATCGAACAACTGTAGGATTGTGGTAAAAAAGAATTATAGGTGAAATGCTCCCTACATCCGTCTGCCTCATCATTTCCAAACTTATTATTATTGTCTTTCCTAGCATGATCAGGCATTTTAATTTTTAAGTTATCGTGCATGACAAATTCGGGCATTGGCACAAAATGGTTCAAATTCATCTTCATAGACTTCATTACACAAACAAAAACATTTTTCTGAACCATATAAATATACCACTATGGTCCAACTGCCTCATCAAGTCCAAAGCCCAAACTTAGATCATCTGTCCTCACTCCAAATCCAGTTTGCTCAAAATTGTGACAACAAATATCTACCAGGCTTTTTCAATTCTTTCATGCACAAGAAAGAAATATTGTCAATTCTGATTAGCAGATATACATTAATGACGAGAGGAAGCTTAGGTTCTCCCTCACTTAATCCCTCCTCAAAACAGTCAAACAAATATATTCGCAACCCAAGATGGCAAAGTGCTCATCAATGAAAAAGCAGCTTAGGTCTTGATCAAATAAGTGGCTAATAGCCAGTTTAGTAAATATTATATTACTTAGGCTATGAATGTGGAAATAAAACTAGATAACAAAAAATCCAATAAAGTCATGAATGAAAAAATAAAGAGTAATTACTATTCCAATAAAGTATTGCTAAATTAGTGACATCTTTCAACAATTCTTTTGCCGAAGTTTAGGATGTAACCTCTAAGTAGCTAAAGATTTTCAGTTTTTAGAAGTTTTTGATCATGAATTATGAAAAGTGAGTTTTGAGTTATTGAATTGGATTTCTCAGGTCAATTATTCTGTCTTTGCCTATACACCCTATAATTCTTCCCTTTCCTTTTTATATCTTCCTGCACCCTCTCTCTCTCTCTCTCTCTCTCTCTCTCTCTCTCTCTCTCCCTCCTTTTATTGTCTGTTTCCCCTCCATAGTTCTGCAGCAGGACTTCCACTTATGTTATACCATTTGTTGCTTTTGACTGCTAGGCTGCTTTCCCCCTAACCATCAATTGGTCTTATGGTGGGACTTCATTAAATGTACTTTGATCCAGCAATGATGATTTAGGCAAGTGGTTTGCAACCACGTTTGAAACTAATTGGTTTTACAGGGGGACTTTATTTACTGTTCTTTGATCCAGGAATGATGATTTTGGCAGGTTTGCAACCATGTTTGAAGCTAGGACCTAATCTCTGCAAAACTATAAAAGTAAGCAAGGCTTTGGTACTGACTAGAAAGAATAATAGCATTCAAAAAACTAACTTCATACAGCCTGGAGGTTGGAAAAAGGTGAAAATGGAAACTCAGTAAGTCATCGACGAAGCAAAATATTCAAGGATCACAAACATAGTAGCCTCTCACATCTGTAAACAAGCCACAGGATGAAGCGTCATTTTCTGTAACAAAGCTACAATCCAGACTGCTGACAATGCTTCATCTCTGTGAAGATGAGAGGTGCAGCTCCCTCCCTTTTATATAAATGGGGTATTACTGGTCAAAAGCGAAAAGTATTGACAACATAGGATAGGCCCTTGTACTCTCTCAATAGGGTTGAACATGGTCCAGATGAGTGGTCCTAAGTCAAGACAGCAGAATACCCATATATGCTCAGTCCTAAAATTTCGGACCATTGATTGGTCCATGTCCCCTTAGGACTTACCCTACAGTCCATTGTAGTCTAAGATTGACCCTAGATCGGATAATTAAAAAAAAAAAAAACTATAATTAAAGCAACAACATTGAATTATCATAAATGTAAATTAAAATAAAACATTGTACTAAATTCTTGAATACAAAAAGAAAATTCATTCATCCATTTTAAAATTCACATTACAATTCATTGATTCATTTATTACTAGGTTTTATTTTTGTTAGCAGTTTTTTTTATTCAATAATTTATTGTTTGTATTGGATATAAACATTTTAAATTTACAATTAACACAAGTAACTTTATAGTTTGACAGTTGGGACTTTTAAAAAGGTGAGTTCTTTTACGGACTCAAGTCTTACAATTTGCAAATATTAACTTATTTTCTATATAATTTTTAAATGATCATTAGTTTAAAAACAGACCAAACTTCAATCTTACAGTCCAATGCTTCAGTCCATGGTGGGTATGTAAGTCCAAAGTTCCATGAAGACACTAAAAGAGTCAGTCCTAGAAAATTTGGACCATCAACTACTTATTAAGCCTCGGGATGACCCTAAAAATGGTCCAAACCCATTGGTCCAAGGGGGCTCCTTGGGTGACCCTCCGTTGCTCACTTTATATGCTAAACTTTCATTCCAGCTAATAAAAGTAGTTTGATGCCCAGTGACAGCTTATTACTCTTGCCATCAATATCCAAAGCCCTACTTCAGGCAGTAACAGAAGAAGCATTGAAAAAGCATGGCAGTTGCGGGAGAAGCATTTATAAAGCAGTAGCCTAATGCACATGAACACATATAGCAAGGGAGAAAAAGAATCTTACCAGAGGTTTTTTCTTCAATTATTCTTCGCTTTTTGCTAGATCCATCAGTCTGCAACACCAAAAACAGGTGCTGCTTGTCAGTATGTAACCATCATTTACAATAGTTTCACAAATTGTTCAAAATTCAGCAGTTAAATGACAAGCAAAGATTTGGAAAAGATAAAGTTTTTAGGGAAAATGCAAAAAGAGAAGAAAAAAACTCTTCAATATCATAGCTCAATTCAACCTGATCAATCTTCCTTCTGGAATTCTTACACAGTGTCTGCAAGTTCTTGCTAGGAACTGGGAAGAAAGCACACAATAGTGAACAAATCATAGATCTCAATAATCTTTCACAATATTTATGATAGGAAAAGCAAGCAGGAAAAATGGCAACCTTTTGAGGATGAAGATTTATCTGAACCTCTTCGTCCCTTCAGGAATTAAACAATAATATTAGAACATAAAAATTTTTAATATAAAAACCCACGTTTTACTGTATAACCAAACCATACTTTTCAAAGAGTACTAATTAGACAAACTCAGAGGCAAAAGTAAAAAAGGCATGGAACATTACCTATAAAGGAAATCAGAGAGAGCCTATTAGGAAATTTTGAGACTAAATTGCTTGGCATATCTTATCTACTTGGCTTAAAGTGAAATATTTCTACTTTCTGCCAATTACTCCAGGAAAAAAGCAATTAACTTCTAATAGAAGCAGAGGCAAATTATTATAGCTACATAGCATAGTCATGGGCAGTAACAATCTACAAGGAAAAAGAGAGAGAGAGTTAGATATCAGTCTCTGAAGTATTACTACTCACTCAGACAGAGAAGGAAAGGTATTAGGGTGCCCTTGCAATCTCCACCAGAAATTTACACAGAAATACCACACAAAACAGAGGAAAGAAATTTTTTAAAGTTTTTCACTGCATTCAGTGGGAGGCTTAGGTGCTCAACTATTTCAAGCACCTGGAGGGATACAGTACATCTAAAAGTGTCTAAATCATAGATGTGAATTGATCACAATCAGCCACCACGGGTCATTTCTTTCCCCAAGCAAGGATAAAGCATAAAATTTTAAACGATATCTTACACAGGAATGCTAGATGTACTCAGTTCATAAATTTCAAGAAAAAAAAACAAACCCATCCAAAGAGCAATCTTCAAAGCTTTATATAAGATTCTATTTAAGATTCACATGCACTCCTTAACTTTTATACTTTCACTGGCATGCACAAAATTTTATGTACTTTCAACCATAATAGAGTTCAAATATGTACAGAAAGGAGCAGAAAAAAGAATCTGTTCTGCCCCTAATCCATAAGATAATAGCTAGTTTAGACCTTTTAGGATTACTCAATTGACTTACTATATGTTCCTTTATCCTTGGAGAAACCTCGGAAACACAACCTATTGACCTAAAATGTTAAGCAAAAGCTAACGTCTTTGAATTCGTTACGGTATGTAGCAGAAAGCATGCTTTTTCCCCTATTTCTTTTGATCCTTACTAGGTCAGGCTAGAAAGTTTCACGATCTGTAGTTACAGCCTTACAGATATGACTACAAGACAGAAATATGCAAGAGCCTTTCTTTCCCTTTACATTGTTGGTCCTAACTGCATATGATATAGATTCTAAAAATCCCAATTACTGGCAAAAGAAAGAAATACAACACTGACATCATTAGCATTTTGAACAAAGCACATTTTCCTTTCTCCTACCAGAATCAGAAGATCTGCAATTATGAAAACAAAAATGATATAGAAACTCACAACAAACATAACTAAGACAGAAACGTATGCTGTGATGCTGAATGAGAAATTAGCAATCCATAAATAAATTAAATCTCTATCATCATTATAAACATTGATGTATATACATTAGAAAATCCATGATGCAATGCAAAATCAAATAAACCTCTCTGTACTCTCCCGAATGCATTAGCATAGCCAGTAACCATATCATACAATCAGGTAACAGGAAAAAAAGCATACCTAATGAAGTGAAACTAAATAAAGCAACTTCTCTTACCATATTAATGATAATTTTGCCATACCTTTTCTTCTGCTTTCTTAAACAATGTCGATATAGTAGCTTGAACAAGTGAACCATGATTTTTGTTTGAATTTTCCTTCAATTTAGTCACTGTAACAGTTGACTGAGATGTTTTCCCAGACTTGGTCACTGAAGTTAGAGAAGTTTGAATTTGTTTGGGGACCTGGTTATCTTCTGTAGCATCAGAACGAACGACCACAGGAATGGAACTAATGGTCTTTAACCACCAGTTAAGGAACCAAAAACCAGAAGCAGGAAAAATTCAAGTACTTAAATAGATAAAAATGAAGCTCTAAAATTCAACATCCTGACCTGCAGCAATGATGTAACAGGAATACGCAATTGGATAACACAAAATAATTTACACATGCTAAATGAGGATATTTCCAATAGTATTATTTTCAGTTAAATCAAGTTTCATGCTAACTTTCTTCTCTTCTCCATCTAATGGTTCAGCATCACTTCTAACAGAGTCATCCTCAGAAGAAGTCTCAGCAAATCTAAATTAACACAAGTGAAAGATGAATTCAACTTCCTAAACCTCGAAACATATAAATGCTAACCTAGATACTCTTAAGCTTAATAAAGAGAATAAATTAAAGAGAAATTATGGACAAGAAGAAGTGCCAATAGAACCTCAATACATAGACAACAACAAAATTAAATATTGGTACTCAACAAATGTCAACAGAAGCACATGGCAACCCCAGGGAACCCAATTCAACAAAAGTTATGTGACTGGAAATGTGTTCTATGGGATCTAGTATTACTAATAAATAGAATTGTTCATGAAACTTACATCATACACACACTGCAATTATAGTAGACTACATTCTGGTCTAACAGTCAGTCATTAAAATATACCACCATACAAGAAAAGAACAAATTTTAGCTGTCCTAGTAAATGCTCTGTAGGGAAAGAAATCATTTCTAAGTTCCACTACCTCCAAAATCCAAATTAATTGCTTAACAATAGTTCTATCTATTGGATCCACCAGAGAAGTAAAGACATATTTCTACAATCATAAACTAATAATCAGTGAATACAGCCCTATATTTCACATATACAAGGATCAGATAACTACAGACAATCAGACATCTTTAAATAAAAAAAAAAGACTGCTTGTAAAATAAAACAAAACAGCTAGTATTGTACTTGAATCTTTTTCCAGCATTTCTTGCAGAGAGCCGACTTGGTGTCACTTTCATCTTAGCTTTCAAGTTGTTGTCATCACCTGATAAAGAGTCTCCAGACTCGGTATCAAGGGAATCTGCTTCAACCAGTTTTATTTCTGTTTTAGGACTGCCTTTTTTGTTAACAGATGCCACCCCAGCACCACCTTTAAAGTCATATTCCATCTTCTGTCCCTGAAACCAGCAATCAACTGTGCTGAAGATCGAAAATCACATGAAACCCAGCAGCGAAAAATAAGCATTCAACATGAGAAACTATTGCAAAAAGAAACCAACCCCACACAGTTCCTTTGGAAAATCAAGCCGCACTTCTTCTGGGTTCTCATCTTTTTGTCCAATCCACCATGCGTCAGAAAATACAATCTGGAAATATCAAATTCTAGTGATGATTTAGAAAACATGAAACATGCTCCCAAAGGCATAATTGAGACCTGATCAAGGAAGATGCTAGCATGAAAATACAAGGAAACAATAAGCAATGAACATAAGTGTTTGGAACCCATTATGACTCTCGAGGCAAAAGAAGAATCATATATTGTCAACTTAAAAAGGCCTGGAACTTTCATATGGAAGACAATATTAACATATTGAGCCTGATGGCATCCAGAGATCACTGCAGCTGAGCACTCAACCAAGGAACTGGAAGGCTGTAGTTTATAGGTGCACGAAATTAGAGCATAATCTACTCTTAGTAAAGGATGTAGAGACACAACACAAACACTAAACACAAAACGTGTTGAAGGTTATTCTTGAATTTATCTATTTGTACTGTCGGATAATCTGACCATTGCCCCTCCAACTCAATTTTCAAAACATCCACATCACTTATAACATCAATATTTCCAAATACCCCGACAAACACGGTAATAGTTAGATGTCAGGGACTTTCAACCTGAAGGTCTCAACTCTCAAGTTCAAACATCCAAAATAATAGGAGGTAAGGTTAATGGAAATAGAAAGAGCTGCCTTCCGTTGCATATCTTAAACCCAATTCATCACCATATGTTAAAAGAATTTAATAAAAATGAAACAACAACTCCTGACTCGGTACAAAACTGATTTGCCAATAATCCCAGAACGGAAACTAATAACAAATTTGATAAAAGGGTAAAAGGGAAAAAGAAAAGATAAGAAAAAGAACAAACCATGTTGTTAAAATAATCCTCGCATAAAACGTTTTTTCCACCACGAGAGAACAGCAAACTCAAAAACCTATTCTTCGGTTACACAATTGTCCCGAACAACTTCATTTGACCCTAAAACCATAAACCCAAACAATTTCCAATATTAGATTTTATGAAACCCCTAAACAATTCAAGAAAATTTGATTTGGAATTGAAATTTCAAAACCTGAGAGAAATCAAGGTATAGGATAGGATTTTTGGAGGCCAAATTCTTGAGCTCGCCGATCTTGCCACCAGAAATGGGAGCAAGGAGACCAGGGAAAGAGAAAAGGAAACGGTTTTTCCTTTGAGATTTCCTGATAATATCTTTTCCGTGGTGCTTGATTACTTGCTTGGATGGGATGAGAGGAATGTAAGATTTGGGCGCGGCCGGTGTCTCGGAAAGTAAGCTGTTTCTCAGAGCCAATTTCTTCAGTCTTTTCCGCTCTGTGGCTTCTGGGGTTTCTGCAATAGGTGGCTTATTTGAAGAGGAAGCTCGCACCATTTTTCTGTCGGTTGAGATTTGGAAATCCAAAAGACTGTTATTGTTGCTTCAGTGATATTACTGCACTCCAACTCTGGGAAGGCGGGAAGTTCTAATTGTTTTTGCTGCCTTTTTCAGTATCGCGATGCAAACCCAACTTTTTTTTTTTTTTCTAAAATAATAAAAAAAATATCTTAAATTTCATCACTTTACTTAAATTAATTTTTATATATTTTTATTATACCCAAATAACATCAACTTTTAATTTACAGTCAAATAAACTTTTAATATTTAATTTATATTTAAATAAATTTTTAATATTTAATTTGTACTAAATCAATACTTAACATAATATATAATGCATATAAGATATTAGTTTTTATGATCATAAATACTTGAAGTAAAACTTTTACTCATATAAAAAATTAATTTTTTTCATGATTAAAGAGAATTAGAAAAAAAATTATAGTAGTTAGTTTGACATAAGAACTTATTTGAATACAAATCAATGTAAAAAAAATTATTTTGATGTAATAAAAATATAAAAATTTATTTAAATAAAATAATAAATTTTAAAATTTTTTAATATTTGACCTTTTTTAATAATGATAAGAACATTTTGGCATGTGGTTAAAAAAATAGAAATAATGCTTGTAAGAAAAAAATTGTGATAGGAGGGTATGATAATATTTTTAAGGCATATCATACTATTAGTTTGGTTAATTTCATTGTAAATTTTTAAAAATTAATTTAATTGATTTAATTTTATCAAAAACCTAATGAATAGACAAAACTAGTGGTAATCATTGTCAAAGTAATTTTAGAGATTGTTAGATGAAAATTTTTAAAATTTTTAAAATAAGAGGAGTTGTCATTAATTTTTTTATTATGTGTAATTAGACACTTAAATTTTTTTTAATAAAATCCTAAAACTAGTTTAATTTATCAAAAAAATAATTTTGATCTTTGAAATTAGAGATAGGTTTAAAAGTATGAATATTTGTGAATATGGATTAGCACCTTATAATACTCATTTTAAAAATGATACCAATTAACTATATGTAATATTTTAATATTGATAAAAGTAATCTTACTTTTGCTATTTAAAAAATAATTTCCTTAATTTATTACAACCAAAAAAACTTTTTTTTTATCTTTTGCTTGAAAAATAAATGAGAATATTGTGTATTGAAATTTTTTTAAAAAAATTCCGATACTTTCACAATATAAAGAAAAATTTTCTCACCTAATATTTTTTAAGAATCACTATTTGAATTTTTTTAAAATCTTATTCTCGGAGATATATATCTATTTTTCATGATTAAATGATACGTATGATATGTACAATAAAACATAATATTAATGTACATATATGCACATTTTATTTATGTATTTGTATTTTATTTTATTTTATTTTATTTTGATCTATTTATTTTTTTCTTTTTAAAAAAATTATTTGTCATTATTTCATTTTTTAAGAGAAAACTTTGATTATTAATTTTTTCCCTTTTTTTTACATTTCTTTTTGTATTTTTGGCTTTATGACTAAAAGAGAAAGGATATTTTTTGTATTGAAATTTTTTTATAAAAACTATGATACACTTGTAGTATTTAAAAAAACTTTTTCAATTAGAGATTTCATTAAATCATTACGTGGATTTCTTTAAAATCTCATCATAAAAAAAAAATTCATTTATTTTCAATTATTAATATTTGTTAATAACAATTTTACAACAACATAAAATTCACAAACAACTGTTTATTGAAAACACATATTTTTAAATAATAAAATCACAATTGCAAGCATTAAAACAATTAAATACAAAATCTTACAAAAAAATAGCTATAAGAGAAAGAAATATACCCACAAGAGACTCTTGGGTTTGGATCCAAAGTAAAACCAAGGGCCAAAGAAGGATCAAATTGGAATAGGCTGCAAAATTGGGCTTGATCTGAATCTAGCTAGCATAGAAGTGAATTTGATCGAACGGGTTGCAAGTTGTAGTAATTGTGTCAAGTTTGACCCAATCAACTATTTTCTTATTCTTTTTTTTTATTTTTTTATTTATATAAAAGCCAAAGTTTTTTTTTAATTAATTTCCTTTCAGTTTATCAAAAAAACTTTCCATTTTTCCCAAATAAAACCAAACAGCCCATCATTGAACCTAGTTTTTGGTGGTCGACCCCTACTCCAATCCTAGTACTACCTACCAATACCTTTTCGCCCCTAAATTTTCACCCTACTCTTTAATCAACTTTCTCTTCTCAAATCCAACCTCAATTTTTGTGAATTAGCTTGAATAATCCTGGATCTAAAATCAAAATCACGACAAAAACCACCCAAAACTCTTACCTTCGTCGGCTGCACCACCTTTATCTTTTCGTATGTCATTCTTCTTCCTAAAGTCGTCTTATCCTCCAAATAATTAGGCCTAAAACTCATTAGAACATGCGTAAATTGAAACCTTAATGAAACCCTTTTTTCTCTTTCATCTTGTTTTTGTATTTTTAGTTTTTGGTATTTTTTTTTTGTTCCTTGTTGGAGAAGTGAGTTTTTTTTTTTTTAGGTTTTTTATTTATTAAAAGTGCAGATGGCATTGGTGAGGGCAAGGCTATGTGATGGGGGTTTTAGGTTGGTAAATGAGTCAGTTAAAGATTATGGCTATTAGTGGTAGTTACCGTATGAGAGTGGATGGTTGTGGCTTTTAGCTAGATTGGAGGACAGAGAATCACACTCAGGCTAGGGTTCTTTTAGAGGTGTCGAATAAAGGCTACAAGTTAGGGTTCTTGGTTGCTTGAGGTATAGTTGTGTTTGTGATGTTGGTGGTGTTGGACTTTTTGTTTCGATTAAGTGTGGTTTGTGGGAATGATGGTCACAAAAGTGTACAAGGATGCAAAATGGTCTAACTTTAACTTTGACCCATATGATATATTCTCATAGGAACTTTAGGATTTCTTTTTTTTTTTCACCCATAGGGAACACTTTTTATTATTATATGATGGGATATTATGAGAGAACAATTAAACAAATGCATAACCAGCATCATATTTCAATGATGAATTTATATATGCATGTGCAATAAAGATGATGCATACTTCCCTGAAATGCAAGGCATGTACCATTCAAGTTTGATGAGAATCATATTATTTATCCACATATACATAAAATAACAAGATATATTTACATGAAATAAAGTGTATCTACAATGTGAATGTGATGGTAATTGTACCATTTTTCAATATATGCACATAAAATGTAATGTCTTAGTATGTGAGTGATGAGACACATTTATATGAAATGCAGTATATGTACAAAACAACCATGTGAATATATGTGCATGGAATGCAATGTCTTATTCATAAGAGATGATGTGTTTACATGAAATGCAATGTGTGTATAATTTGAGTTTAGAATCATATCATTTGTGAATTTATATGCATGAAACATAATGACACACAACATCAATAATGATATGTATATGAATGATAAAACATGCTTATACGAAATGCACTAACGCCCGATATGCATGGCAAGATATGTTTACATAAAGCGTAATGCATGTATTATACAAATCTAATGAAATTGACACTACCATTCAAATATTTATGCATGAAATGAAGTGTATGTACAACCATATTATTTTCAAATACAAAAAATGATGAAAATAAAAGTAAAAAAAAAAAAGGAATACAAAAGGCATAATAACATTCAAAATCAAAATCTTTTCCTTTTTTCAAGAAAAAAATAAGAATCCAAGAAAACATTTCTTATGAAAAAAGTACATAAAATTATCATAATTCAAAAAATTTTTACATTTTTGTTTGTATTATTTGGCCAATATAAAAAAAAATTTCTTTTTTTTAAAGATTTTTTCTTTTTCTTTATTTTTTTGGAAAATACAAAAAATCCTTTTAAAGAATAGTTTTTTAAAGATGCGAATCCTAGATAAACAGTAGACAAATTGAACGGTATGTCAAAAAAAAATTTTATTTTAGGAATATAATTTTTGTTCATATTTTCTTTTCTTTTTCAATGTTTTAGTTTTCTTGACATTATTATTACCTCCTAAATACATATTGTATTAAAGTGTTCCTTATGTATCCTCATTCAAGGAATTTTTATAAAAGTTATCGGTATGACTCTATCTAAGATCGGTTCTTATAGCTTACTATATGCTCGATTCGGATTTATACTCGTATAAAAGGTTCATATATTATTTTTCATAGCATCCATACAGGACTAGTAAGGCATCTTGATCCTCATTCATTACAGATTATAAATGAAAATGGTTCAATTTAAGTGACAGTATTTCACTGGCTATTACGAAGGTTATCATCTTACGAGAGCATAGGTACTCTACTACCTCCTAAAAAGAATAAAACTTAGGTATAGAGTCTATGTATAAGATTAATGTGCCATGTGTGAACAGGAGAACAAAAGATTGCAACCTTTATCCTAAATGCTTTACAATTTATTAGGAATAAGATATACAAAACACAAAATAATAAATGAATAAACGATATAATTAAAATGAAATGCAATTGATTTTTTCCTTTTATTATTATTGTTTTTAGAAAAAAAATTAAAATTAAATATCAATTAAGACTATTAAATCAAAATTTAAGATAACACATAATTAATTTTGACCTGACTTTAAAAAAATATGTCCCTAACAGAGTCACCAAGATGTCATAATAGTTTTGGAGGTTGTTAGATGAAAATTTTAGAAACTCTCAAAATAGGGTGAGTCGTCACTAATTTTTTTATTAGGTGTGATTAGATATTTAAAAAGTTTATCTTTTTAATAAAATCTTAAAACTAATTTAAATTATCAATAAGATAATTTTTGTCTTTGAAATCCTAGACAAATTAAAATAAAGCAAGCAATTATAGTCCATAAATCTCAAGAAATTACTTCTTACTACCTTTGATGGTTTGATACAGTAATGTCTAACTTTTTAATATTGGACTTGCTGGTGGAGAAAGAAAACATGATCGTCGATGGTTGTGGAGTCAGAAGATTTTCATATTTGTTATAGAAAAAACTAAAAGAAAAGAATAGAAAAAAAGAAAAATGAGGAACGGTGATGGTGACCAATTATGGTGTGATAGCTAGTAGGTGTATCATTGGTAGAGGAGTTGGTTGATTGGATAGT